CAGGACTTTTCCACCGCATCTCGGAAAACAGTTCTTTAAACGCGTCGTGCTTGCTCAGCAGACCATCAGCTTTTTGTCACTTTACTTTAGCATCCTGATCCTCGTTAAGACACTTACAGGATGGTTGTTGAAACAATTTTTCCAAGCTCTGTCCAGTGGAGTGATTTTTTTAAAAGTTGTTGGTGCGGTTTTGATATTCTTCTGGAGTGTATAGTTGGAGGAAAAGAGCCTGAGCACCTGTCAAAATGCCCTCAGAAAGAAAAAGCAACAAAACGTTGGCTTTATTCCTCATTAATTCAGGCTGAATGCCAACAAATACCCCAGCTGTCATCTGTTTATATATTCCGCTGGCTCTGCTCTTTTGTAACTTCAGTACCTGCCTGAAGAGCTCTCTTTTTACGCAGCTTATATCGAGTGTTGTTTCCCATTTCCTATGATCCGATGTGATCTGATTCATCTGTAAATACAATCAAAAAAGTTTGGGATAAAAGTTTTTTACCAGAAATTATTTACTGGAAAAAAGCCTTGTGTGGAGGATTCAGGCCATTTTCTCTGCTTCAGCAGAAAGGTCAACTCCTGATTGTGAAGGAGTCAGCTCTTGAAAGTGATGATACATCAGTGGGATATGTTGTGGATAATCGCTCAGGAAACCGTCTTTCAAACTCAGATGATTCTTTCACTTTTTTTTTTTTGAGAGCAGCTACAGTGATAATCTTTTTCCAAGAAATGCGATGTTTTGGTGCCATTAAGCCAACAGAACAGCTCTGCTGGAGGTACCAGACCTGGAATAGTGTCCTTGAAGGATTTCCTGTCCAGGTGCCTTTGTGGCAGACTTTTATCAGCTGGTATCAGCGGGGACACAAGTTACTGGGAACTGTGTGACTGGAAAGAAGTTGTTGATCTCAAATGGAAGAAGAATTGGAATAAATTGATTTCTGCAAGAAGTCAATACAGTCTTCTGTGTAAGAGATCTACTGAATGAAATGATAAAGTGACCTTACTATATGATGGATGTTGAAGTGCTGGCTTCTCTGACAACAATGCAGCAGCCAGTATGTCCTCCTTCTAACTTTAGATTCTGCTCCTGAATGCTCTGGATTTGTTTGGACCAGAAAAGGTAGGCGGTTTTAAAAGGCACCTTCCTACACGACCGTTTTGGATGCCCCTCGGTTTGCCAGATATGAGAGCAGTTATCAGGTCACTGCTAGCTATCTTAAAAAGCCAAGCTGTTGAATTGGTAGCTGAAGAGGTCAAGCCCCACTGACAACTCCACTAAACATTATTTAGCAGCTAATCCCATTGTAGGTAGCCAAAAAGTATCCCTAAGAGGTATCATGAGTTCACCTAAAGTGCTCGCACTCAGGCTGGATGGTACTAAAGTTAATCTTGGATTAGCTGTCTGACAGAAGGAATAATTCTTCAGCATATATTTGCCTCAAAATGAGCTTAAAGGGTATTTAAAATGAGCGCTTGAAAGTGTTTTAATGAACTGAGCACGGTTACCTCCAGAACTGCATGTACTCAACGGTTCATTCATGTATAATTTGAACAGAGGGAGTCGCAGGGCAGTCGCTCTGGAGAGCTCTTGGACTGCTTGGGATTGAAGGCCTGGCTATAGGAAGTGGCTGATAGTCAACATCACCAAGCAGGCAGAGGTAGCATCCCTGGTCGGTGGATCGGTAGCGTGCCTATGTTCCCATAGCCCTATGTTCCCACATTTCTCTTTTCATAAATTTGTATCAGTTAGGGTTAGGGTAACTTATGCTAACCCTTACCCTAACCCTAACCCTACCCTGTGGAACATTGGGCTGTGGGAACATAGGGCTGACCCCGGTGGGATCTGGATAAATGGGAATGAGGGGTGGCAGAGCAACCAGGGGACGGACAAACATAGAGTTAAGGGTTGGACAGCGGGGGTAGCATCAGGACGCTGGTTCTACTGTCGAGCCCCCCCGAGATTTTGTGGGATGCTTATGTTGACTAAACATTGAGGAACACATTTGAAAACCTGCAGAAGCCACTCAACTCAGGTCCAGTTTGGAGGGAGGTGCCTTCAGGGAGGTTTCCACCGGCTCACATGGCGCAGGGGTGAGAACCTGTAAAAGGTGAACCTGTTGAGATAACCCTTATCGTATTTTGCATATATACAGAATATATAGGTGTGTTTTACATATTTAAGTAAGGTTTGTGTCTGTGTGAGAAGTCTAACTCCAGATGTGAAAACCAAAGAGCGGCGTCCATGTGATTCCCTTTTTTCTATATGTTAATGTATTCCAAGCGTTGGCCTTTTACACGGTGACCTTTTGGGCTGATAGCTTGAGAGCCAGCCCTTTGTTACAGAGGTTTCTCTCTCTCTGTGCGTTGTGCTCTTTGATCCATAGAGATAAAATGACAAAGTCATGCTGATAGATGACAGCTTTGTCTTTTTCTTAGTTTGATTATTTGGCAGTCATGGCTCACTGAAAACTGATTTTGAGTGAGCTCAGAAGTGAATGAAAGTTTGATTTCCGGGGGAAGCCTGAGCACACATGAACCTGCATTCTTCTTTTACAGCTTGAATATGTAACATAATTAATGTCTGGTAAAAGGAATTCATTTGACATTTCAGGAAAATAGATTTTTCTCTTTCATGCCAGAAGTTGTAAGGGAGCTTTGATATCACAATCTTCAGATTTGGCTAAATTTCTCATAATGTTGAAGAATTATATTATTCTTATAACAGAGTTACAAGAAGCAATCAAACATCTGGTAATTATGACATTTGAGGGGATGCAGATCACACCAACTGCTGAGCCATCAAACAACCCTTTAATGTTGAGTCTCAGAGGATTTCTTTTCCATCTAATGGTTTGGATATCTAGTCTATTAGTTAGCTTTTTAATTGGCCAGTAATTCCGCCATATCTTCAGGGTAGCCACCAATAAAACACCAGGCATGTTGAAAAAGAAGCTTCTAACTCACACTGCACAAGTCCTCTGGGTCTTATCCATAAATAGTAACTCCCTGAACCATGTCGAGGCTTTTTCCAGCGGTTCAAAAGGCCACACTATCCGAACTTAAAGAGTGCTTTTCAAAGTTCTTTTCCATCTTTCTTAGATTGGACTTTGTATGGGCCTCTGTTTCATCTCTATGCTCCAAACAGTTTTTGAAGATTTACTGTAGCTGATTTCTCCTCCGTTCAGTATGTGGGCTGTCAGGCCTTTTCAGAAAACCAATTGAATCCATTGAGAAGATGAAAAGAGAGAGCCAACACAGAGTTCAACACAAAGTCACTTTTATTATGTTTCGGGGGCAGGTGGAGCAGCTGAATGGAGGGATCCTCCTGATCATGAGGGTATCTTTGTTGAAGTGGATGCTGGCTCTGCCCCGGAGAAGATAAAGACAGAGGAGTGGGGAGCGAGAGTCGGCTAAGTGGTCTCCAAATTATGATGCCCGAGTACCCCCGATGATCCGTGTGATCCCGAAATAAAACAGAAAGAAAAAAGGCAGCCTCAGCAAAGCCACACATCAAAAAAGTCAAAAATTAAAAAAATCAAAAAAAATCAAGAAGAAATAAGTCCCAGAGGGTCTTCAAAGTACACACCACTTAACCAACAGTTTGCAGTGTATATAATGTTCTCACTGTCGGACTGCTTCTAAAGTCACTGATCACAAAGCGAGACGGTAATTTTTCCTTTTCGAAAGAACCAGAAGTTGATCACTAGACATAAAGGGATGTGCACCTGTGACTGCATCGTCAGGTACATTGCATTTTACATTGCAGTAACTTCTCATCAAACAGCCTTTTGCTTTGACATAGTGTTCTGCTAATGCCTTCGATATGACCATGTTTCTTAAAATGATCGTCCATGTCATCCATACCTTGTCGCATTCTCAAAACCGTTTTGAAGTAGCTGTGTTCAGACCAAAGTGAAGCACCATTTTGCCTTTATTAATCCGGTGAGTTTGCCTGTGGGACCATTTTTGTTCATTTGCAAGTATTCCCCCTTAATGGTACGTAGAAAAAACAAACTTTCCAAAATAGACATGCACACGGCTCAGTGAATTTCACAACCTTCTCAGGGGACTCTGTGTGGATTTACTTCACTGATGCTTCCAGCTTCTTCCAGTTTGGTACCAGAGTATCTTAAACGGACGTCTACTGTACTACAACCGTTTGATCGCCCCTCAGTCTCAGCCGGGTAGCAGTTTCACCATATCTAAAAAACCACACTTCGGCCAACAACCATTTTGATAGTACTGCAGTGTGAACCCAAACTAAACAGATTTTGCTTTTACTTTTTCGTGATATATTGATCGAAAGGATGCTGGAATACCTTCACCCTAGAAGTAAAATATTCATTATTTGCCAGGCTTGCACACGAGACGACTTTTAAAATCGATTGACCAATTCCTATGCAGGGAGAATCTCAACCTGATGGGCTTTTGCAGCACAGCATCATGCTTATTTCTTATTCTAAGTTTAAGAAACCTTACTGTCCACCTAGTGTTTTTTTCTGACCTGCAGCTTCTTTTTAAAAAAATATTTTCACTGATGAGGGAGCGTTTGCAGCAGCATGCGGCAGCGCCCAGCATCTTTTTCCGCTCCGAGCGCTCAAGTTGAAAATCTTTCAACTTTTTCCAAATGTATGATATTACCGATATTTTTGCCGCCTACGGATCGTGTCTTGTACCCACATCCTCCTCGCTCCGAGTCTGCTGGAGTAAAAACATGCAGTAAAAAGTAACGGAGCAGTATCGCTCATACAGCAGCCGTTGTCAACAGACTGTTGTCATGGAGACAGGACGGACCTGCAGCGATTTTCACTGGGCCTAACAGAATATTTTAGTGACAGGAATTTGCATGATTCATGGGTCGTTGTTTAATATTGGACTTTTTATGCCTTTATTTATAGATAGGGCAGTGGCTACATTTAGAAATCAGAGAGAGAGAGAGAGAGAGAGAGAGAGAGAGAGAGAGAGAGAGAGAGAGAGAGAGAGTGGGGAATGACATGCCGGAAAGGAGCCACAGGCTGGATTCAAACCCAGGCTGTCCACTTGGAGGACTACAGCCTCCGTACATGGGGCGTGCACACCAACCACTAGACCACTGGAGCCCCTGATTCATGCAGTATACTGCATGTTGTTTGTGGTTTTAATTGGTCTCTCCTCCTCTGCTTGCATGTGGATAGTTGTTTGCTTTTATAGATTATTTGATTTAGTAATGTTAATGCTAGTATGCTAATGGAAATATCGTCTTGTATCGTATCGTCTTGTATCGTATCGTCTTGTATCGTATCGTCTTGTATCGTATCGTCTTGTATCGTATCGTCTTGTATCGTATCGTCTTGTATCGTATCGTGCAAAATGTGCTTCACTTTTGGTCTGAACAAACCTTTTTCACATCCTGTCCTTGTTTTATTCCGCATGTAGACATCATCAGATCTTTTTTTAAATGCTTATCAGAGTGAACAATCATCGTAACTAATCACAAAAGTACGGAAGTAGTTACCTCCTTCACAAAGTCAATAATGCAAACATTCCTCACTTTCCATTTTTTTTTCTCCTCTTATCTCCAGCAGCAATATTAGAGACACGGTGCAGAAAAAAAAGAGAAAAGAAGCATTAGGAGATCTGGAAAATGAATGACAACATAGTGACGTTACACTAAACATTTTGACAGCCCGGATGACTGTTTGAGGGCGAGCGCCGGCACATCCGATCCCGGGAAGGTCGCATCACCAGCTGGATTGGCAGCCCGTCTGAAAACACACGCTGACAGTCCTCATATTTGTTAATCCTCGTGTCAGGAGTTGACATTTCCCCAATCAAAGACGAGTGTGGGACACTTAAATCTCTCTAAAAATGTTTTCCTGGTGCCTCTCACAACCACTGTAGTCCTTCGGCATTTGATCCCCAACTCTTCCAAACAAACGCGCTGTTCGGGTCTAGCAGAGGCGTCGCATTAGTAACAGTCCAAAAACGGAGTCCCAACCTCCACGTCGGTCGTCGATGAGCTAGCACGCCTGATCGTCAGTGTTCATGCAGTAAAGGTTCATCTTTATCTGATCTAACGCAGACCTGACCTTACCCAAGTTTAGAGAACTCAGAGTCCCGCTCCTCTCTGCCGCAGCCCAGAGCGTCCGTCCTCGGGGACTGGACCCTGCTGATTTCTTCAAGGGCACTGGCCAGAGAGTCCAGGTCCCCCGAGTCCTGGTGCTGGACTTCCCACAGACTCAGGATCACTGACGACGGGCTCTCCTGACAGGCGAAGTAGCACAGGTTCCTACGGGCCGGGGGGAAAAATGTGATATTGGATTAGAGAAGATCAAGGAGATAGATCAGAGGGTTCAGGAACACAGTGATTATGATAATACGGTCTTGATCAGGGGAACTTAAGGTGACTCAGCATTTTTTTGGCACTTCCACACTCCCACAAGGGAGAGATTCAAGAGAGATTTACAACATTTTTTTTTTTTTTACAAAATCAAAGCAGCAGAGGCCGAGTCATCCCTGCGTTTTAGTCTGGATCAAACTCAAGAAAAAAAAGAAACGATGCTTCACACATTTCAAATTCTTCGCTTTTTGTTTGGGCTCAACGATTTCAAAGACATAACAACTGCGGCTGTTCTGAACGATGTTGCTATTGTGAATTATGAGAGAGTGAGTTAAGAGGGAATTTGAAACGATTGAATCATCAGATTTCTGTATTTTTCTTTCGACCGTCTGTGCGATACAGATCTGATTTCTTCAGTCTGTGAGGTTTGATGTTTGTAACCAGAGCCTGTCTGCAGCTTTGACAACATAAAATCTTTTGCATTTTTGACACATTTCACCCCAAAGAAGTCTTGTGCATTCTGCAAATTGGAGGCTGTAACTGACCAAATTGAGCTTTCAATTGGAGATATGACTTATACCTTTAGTCTCAATTGATGGATTTATTCGATTTCCTTTATTTATATATGGGGCGGCAGTAGCTCAGTCTGTAGGGACTTGGGTTGGGAATCAGAGGGTCGCCGGCTCAAGTCCCAGCACAGACCAAGTCAAAACGAATTTTCCCTTGCAGGATCAATAAAATCAAAATTATTATTATTATTATATTCTATCACACTGCAAAAACACCCTGTCAAATTTCAAACAAAACTTGCACTTAAAACAATAAAACAAACAGAAGTGCCTTGTTAAAATTTCTTGAAATAAGCAAGGCCTTCATACAGTAAATCTTAAATAAAAAAATCTAGATAAGAAAACCAGATGTAACCCTTGTGGCTGGGATGTAGAGGTGAATATGTGCAACAAAGGGACCGGAGTTGTAAATGTGCGATTACTGCAGAGGGAGCATTTTTTGTGCAAATGCAGTGAACACAACACACAACCAAAGATGTGACTGTTCTGTTGTTTTCAAAGCCTCGCAGTGTGACAAAAAAAGGTTTGAGTGCCTCTTTAAGCCATTTTCATGCACACTCATGTAAATAAGTGTTATGAGGTTTGAGTGATGTTGCACCTCTACAGGAAGAACGTTTATACATATAATAATTCCTGAATCTTCAGCTCTTAACGGGTCAGAGACAAAGAGGGAAGTATCTCTGCAAGTTGTTGTACAGATCAACATTTACATGATGAATACAAATATAATAAACTAAATAAAGCTGCCTTTAAAAATCTACAAAGATGATCTAAACCGGCTGGTCATGGAGTTAAAGATAGTATAGTTGATGTTGTGTAAGCAGGAGGTAGTCTGAACAAATGCTTTACTGCACTGGAAAAAGAAGTTCAAGTAAGATTTCATGAACAGACTTTCCTCTGCTGCTGTTATATTAGCCATCCAACAGAGTGCACTGTTTCATTACAATGGGGTTTCCTTTGTCCTCTTCTCCTCTCTCTCTCTCTCACTTCCTCTCCTCTATATGGAGCACTTTCCACACATTCAAAGAAATAATTACAAAATCAGCTTAAGCAGGAAGAGACATTCCCATTACATGCTTTTTTGGAGTGTTCGACTTTGCTGAAAAAAAAAAAAGAAACTCTGAAATCCTTTCCCCTTCCTCGGTCACAGATGTTTGTTTCTCAGACTTCGCTTTAAGTGAAACTCCTTAATCACATAGTTTCTGTCACAGTTTCTTAGTCAACTTTCCCCCTCTCATGTTCCTCCAACTGGCAAGAAAGAGGAGGACGCTCGCACTTAGCACTTCTCTCCTTCCAGAGCTCGACTGCAGAGTCTTCACGGCCATCAACGTTTGATTATTGACTTCTCCTCTGAAGCACAAATAGAGATCAGCTCATACCAAGACAACCTCGCTCTGCCTACGCAAATACTGACCTGGCACAACCTCTGGAGAGTTTAGCCGGGGTTGAAGCCGGGAACACATGCAGAGATGCTGCTAATGAAGAGTGCTAACACGAACATATTTTCTTGCCAGAGGCTGGCCTGTCAGCGGTCTGAGACCTTCCTTCAGATTTCTGCAAATCATGGCATTTTTCTCTCCAGTTATTCTGACTGTGCTGCAGCCCTCTCCCTCTCTCTCTCTGTGTGCATGTGTTTCTAGATCTATAATGAAATCAGCAGTGTGGCGTGTTACTGAAGGCTGGTTGGTGATGGAAGATTAGGGCTGACACGGTGCCTAAATTTTAGATTAAAAATAGTATTCAAAGTGGGACAACGTTTACATACTGGAGGGACCTGAACATGCAGCCTTTTTTTCTGCTTTCCAGTCATTATTCTGTGACAACACCAGAACAAAACAAACATACAGGGTCATATTTATGAGCTCGTGTGACTCACAGACGACTCAGCAATAAGTAAGGATAATCTCCAGTGAGGTGTGTCCATCAGTAGCAAAGCATAGACTCCACTGGAGCAAGACACCTCTATGACAACCACTAATTCCTAATGATGGACTTCATCCTGCCTGACTTTTCTTTACTGACTTTTTCCCAGCCATGGCTCAGTTTCCCCCCTTACTAAGGGTTTGACGGACACCTGCAGATGTCATCACCATCCCATAAGGTTCTGAAGCATCTGATAATGTTTTTTAACTAACCAAGTTATAAGCCATGTTCTAAGCCGAGCTATAAGCCAAACTCTAAGCCATGCTATAAGCCATGCTACAAGCCTTGCTATAAACAATGCTATAAACTAAGCTATAAGGCAAGATATAAGTCATGCTGCAAGCCAAGCTCTAAGCCAAGCTCTAAGCCAATGCTATAAGCCTGCTATAAGCCAAGCTAAGCCAAGCTCTAAGCCCTGCTATAAGCCAAGCTCTAAGCCCTGCTATAAGCCAAGCTCTAAGCCAAGCTATAAACCTTTGCTCTAAGCCAAGCTATAAACCTTTGCTCTAAGCCATGCTATAAGCCCTGCTATAAACCGAGCTCTAAGCCATGCTCTAAACCGAGCTCTAAACCGAGCTCTAAGCCGAGCTCTAAGCCATGCTATAAACCAAGCTCTAAACCATGCTATAAGACATGCTACAAGCCTAGCTCTAAACCAATCTATAAACCATGCTCTAAACCGAGCTCTAAGCCATGCTATAAACCATGCTATAAGCCAAGCTCTAAACCGAGCTCTAAACCATGCTATAAGCCTAGCTCTAGGCCAAGCTATAAGCCATGCTATATAATATGCTATAAGACAAACTCTAAGCCATGCTAATAGTATGCTAGCTATGCTTAAGTATTTCTTTCCTCATTTTGACATTTTTCATGCTTGGAGTGCCAGGTTTCCTCCCACTAATTTGGAAGTATGTTTAAAAACAGGATAAGCTAGCTAACTAGCCATTTACTGGACCCACACTTAAGCAAAACCTCCCACAAAAAAATCCACCATGTTAACTGTTAGCAGGAGACTGAATATGAGAGTCAAAAAGCATATGGGTTGTTAAAGAAAATCTCTCAAAAAGTTCTGACAGGAAAAGTTATTCTGGCCTTACTGTGCTGTTCTTCGGCACAAACTGAAGCTACTCTGTACTGTCAGTGCTGCATCGAGTGAAATGCTTCAATGTGTTCCTCTTCCCCGCCTCTAAGATGTAAAATAAATGATGAACATTCTCCAAATAGATTAAAAGACATTATATCATGCAACAAATCAGAGACGTTTATTCACCCACAGCAGGAAATAAATCTGATTACACCTGAAAAAAAATACACCAGCTGTGTTCGTGCAAGCTACTGCAGCTGAATATGACTCAGCAGTAAGCAAAGGACAACAGTGTATTATACAGAATGGTATTTTGGATTTCAGACTGCTGTAACTCATACCTGTCAATGTGCAGCTTTTGAGCCAAGAGCTGCCAGTCCTTCCCCTTGGCATTAGCGGTGTCAAAGGTGGCGCTGATCCGCTGACGGATGGACAGGGGGATTTTAAAGGCCCTTGACCCTGTCTGAGAGGTGATGGTGCAGTCTGACTGTGTGAAAAAGGGCACCACTCCCTTTTCATTCTGGTAGCAAAGATAAGATAGAGAGATGTGAGGATGATTTCTTTTTTTCACACTGCAGCTGAAAATCTCAATATGAAGACAAGGACAAGGACTTATCGAAACTATTTTGCAATCTATACATGGAAAAAAGCTCCCCGAGAGGCTCATTAAGCGAGCTCTTGAATCAAATCAGGAGTTATTTAGTGTAATAAAAAAGGGAGCTATTACCAAGCCGCATGACTGCCCACGCGGCAAGCACACGTAATATCTGTTTTTCCCCCCTCCGCACCACCTCACCTCCACCACAGATGTGTAGACCTGGAGAATCTGCTCCTCGCCTTTGACCTGCCGGACGCTGATCTTGCAGGAGAGCTGCGACGAGGAGTGGCTGTAGCGCTCCAGAGAGAAGGCACACTGCAGGGGACGCTGGTTACTGGCCCACACCTGAGAAAAGGAGAACTCCTGCAGAGGAGGAGGCGGCGGCGAGGGCGGACAGGGAGAACGATGAAAGGATTAGACAGAAGAGACATTAAGCCCCCGCTAAAGACGTTTGGTTTGCTTCAATCCTTGTTTTGCCACCCACTTTGCTGTTTACATGATTAATTAAGATTGAATGAGGGGGCCTCTTTAGCAAATCAATGGTGTTACCTCATCAAGCAGTTCGCCCATTAGAAACAAACATTTAGAGCCCTGTTAACATGTAAAACAGCCTGAATCACTCGGAGAAAAAAAGAATTAAATAAGGCGTTTATTTCACTTACTGGGAAATAATGAACATACTTTATCTTTATGTAGCCTGACACCCAACATTGCTGCTCTGACATGCCCTCATTAGCTCAAACATATTAGACTAAAGCCAACACATTTATAGCAGAAATACTAAAAAATCTTCCCCTGAAGATAATTCAAGAGCTCACGGCTTTAAATTAAAAAACTTCCATGTCATATTTATCAGCATTTATCATTTATTAGCTTGTTGTTTTCTCGTTTCAGAACACTTAATTATTCTAGTTAATCTGTTAGATGAGGAACGCTAACGAGATTATGGAATTAGGACAGAGATGCTTTAATTCACCCAATCTGCTCTGCACTTTCCCCTAAAAGTGGCCGCTGAGGAATTGCAAAAAATCCTAACAGAGTTTTGGTGCAAAATGGAATCTGAAAGGCCAATTTTTGTCTCTCATTTCCAACCACTGCGTGACCCAGACAGTGGCGCAGTGAGAACAGGTCAAAGCCAATGTTTTACAGATGAATCATCCCCTCTCCAGATCCATCAGACAGGAGGACGGCTACTTGTAAAAGCCTCTTAGAGGTAAAAGTGGAGTCTGACTGGAAGCCTACAGTCATCTTACTCCTCCTGTAGGACCCTCAACTTCACATTTTAGCTCCTCCCACTTAGAAAAAAAACTCTTTGTTGTTTTTCCGGCGGCGCTATGGTGGGCTAATTCTGCTAATAGGATGTCTCTGCTGGGCTAAACATCATAGGGCAGAGCTGAACATGCAGCATGCGGACCCTTAGGAAACTGTGTGTGTGTGTGTGTGTGCCTGGTAGTCATAATTAATATTGTAAGGGGTGTGTGTGTGTGTGTGTGTGTGTGTGTGTGTGTGTGTGTGGGTGAGATAGCTAGCCTCAGTGATCTCCTGCTGTGCCCTTGCTGCTGTCCTCTGCGGCAGCTTTGATGTGACCAAGTAAGTAAAGGGAAACTGGGAGAGGAGAGAGAGAGCGAGCGCGCTGTAATGGAGAAACTATCCTGCAGACTAGAAAAGAAGAAGTGGACGTAGCCATGGCCACGTCACACTTTGGTTTGTAGACTACCATTTTTAAAACCATATTTGGAAGTCGCTATCTTGGTTTTTCTGCACAAAAAGTACCATATTTGGACAAAGGGGCGGATACATACGACTGTAGGGCTGCAGTCAGCGATTATTTTGGTGATCAAGGATTCTGCCGATTAAACAAATTAAAAATATTGCATGGTCGGCTTTTTTTTCTTCATTAAATTGCTTTTGCTTTATTGAAGAGTAACTGTAATATAGGAAAGAGAAAATAAGACAGGTCTCTTAAATTAACATCTACCTTAGTTTCCCTTTTTGCTAAACATCTTTTACAGTTTTTTAATGGTGTTTATGTGTCGACGTTCTTGAAACATCACGCTGTGCGCCCGACGCTGTCACTTTTGTTGACACAAGATTAGTCCAATAGCAGATGTACCCAAACTAGTGCTGGTACTAATGTTGCTAACTGGACTTTTTGCATGTTCACACATTCAGACACACTTACTCTCCCACGATGCTGACGAGCAAAGACGCCTGAATGGACGACTTTGTAAATGAAATTGTCGTTGCAGAGGAATGGCGAGAATATTTTTTTGCATATCAAGGACGAAGATGGAGTGGATGATTTTTGAGAATTTAGCGTGTGTTAAAAAGAAAAGTACCCGCCTATGTGTGGAGCAGGCCTCAGTGGTATCTCTATCCCCGCCTCACTCTGCAGACAGCAAATATTTATTTGAAAGAGGAGGCTGGAGAGCAAAGCCGCAAATCTAATGGAGCTGGGCTAAAATTAGAAGTGGGATTGCACATATGGTGGCTGCGTTACATTCCTTCACACTGAAAATTACACACACTCACAGTTACATGCTGTGTACCTGGCAGGTGGTGAAAGGCTTGATGCTCCAGAGTAACTGCGGGACGTCCTGGATGGACACCTGGAGGCTGAACGTGTTTCCCCGGAACAGCATCATTTTGGGCTCTTCCAGCAGCCGTCCACCCCTGCTGCGCTCGCCCACTGCAACCTCCTGATGGAGAGGAGAGAGGAGAGAGTTGTTTTTTTCTCAAGAGGAGTGGGTGAGGTGTAAGGAAGTAAAGAAAAGGAGGCTGATAGACTCCAGCTGTAACAAGTCAGGATTCACAGGAACATCTCATGACTTTTAGTGAGCGATCAAATGGTTCTGTTGATTCATAACAACACAGGAATAAACAACAAGTTTATGTTATTCCACAGAAAATCACAATCCTTAGTCAAGACAATTTGCTGCCTCCTGAGGTAATTCTCAAAAATAAATTTCAGGTGTTTTTCACAATTTGGGATTCTCCGTTTTATGTGACAATAATCTGAGATCAGGTTTTGAACTGTTGATCATGTTTATAATAAGAACATTGGTAATGGGCAATGTGTTATTGCCAATGATGGACCCAGAGCTTGATCAATTTTAAAGAAAATGGAGCTAGATCTTGGGGATAAAAATGAAATTCCGAGTTAATTATGAGTTGTTTTAAGTTATCTGTTCTTTTAGAAAAAGGCGTTTTCCTTCTAATCACAGTAATGACCCGGAAAAAATCAGTGGTGGTCTTGCCCGGTCTTGATTTAAAATCCAGAGTCCGCCCAGTCTGAGGCCGAGACAAGACCGAGTAAAAATGCTTTCGATTCTTAGACGAGACCGAGACCTTAATAAAGGGGTCTCGAGACTTGGCACCAAGACTGGTTTGGAGTACTACAACACGACTGAAAAGGAAAATTCATGTATTAAAGTCAGCCCTCGCTCGATTTCAAATCCCATCCAATCCACTTTATTTATTTAAAAAACATCAACGTTTACAATTGCAGTTACTTAAGAGCATAAATAAAAACACTACAGATGAATTATAAACACACAAACAAAAACAAACAAACAATAAAACACAGAATAGCCTCTACAAGCTGTTAGAAACGGTCTTTGCACAGCTGGCACCCCGGGGAGATGATTTTTATCTGCCAGTGCTTTTTGCACATTTCGACAAACCCTGTGACTATGAAGTAAAAAAAAAAAAAAAACTCAACTCTTTACAAACAATACAAACAGTGTGGTGCATTGTGGGTCTTTTTTTTTTTTTAAAGCTTTAGAAGTCATCTAGCGTGATTGAAACCCCCAAAAGTTGAAACGCTCCACTGTGGCCCCCACAGGAGTGAACGCTGCTCACAACTCGTGACCAGACACAAAGCAAGATCAAACCGACTGACTGCAGGAGTGACAAAACCGACTCTGCTGGAGCCGAGAAATTGGATAAAGAGAGCAGCCAGAAGCGTTAGGCGGACATATTGGGTGTACACATGAGCAGAGGGGGAAAAAAAAATCAAAACTAAGTCTTCTGTCAATATTTTACTTTTGGCTTTCCTGCTTGGTGACATTGTAATATTATCGGATCTATGGAGAACAATAACATCTGTGTGCATGTTTGTGTTTACATTTTGTTTATCGTGGGGCTGCAGGGGAGGGGTTAGAGTATGCATGGTGCTCATCCTGTCTCAGAACACACAGAGGGGGGGATGGGGATGGGGGCGGGGGGGGTGCAAAGCACACAGGCTGTCTTGAACCTGATCAATTCTTGCTTCAAGCTCACAGGGGAAATTAATTGCTGTATGGAGCACAAACAAAAAACTAACCCAAAAGGGGAACGAATGAATAAACATTCATGTCTGACGGACGGAGAGGAGGAGTGGATTAACTGAAGGCGGCTACCTCCAATTTCTCTGGAGCCACAAGTGATGAGGGGTCAGTGGCTAGACAGGTAGACCCCCCCCTCCCCCCCAAAAAAAAAAAAACTGTGTGTCTGTTGAAAGTTGATCTATGATGCTGAGGGCGCTGAACGGCTTGTTTTGCAAATCACTCGATAGCCCCTCGATATGAAACCAAGAATTTCATGAGGCGTCTTCAAGACTCTACGTACAGTTAGCCGGTGAAACCTCTTACATCAACTCTCTTCTCCCAGCACTGGAGAGCAGCCCTCACCTGGCAGCCCTGCAGCGGTCTGCCAATCAGAGGAAAGTGGATGTTTTCAACCATAGATTGTAAATATAGTTCCCCAATTTCACGAGATGGCTTTAAGCCTCTACATAAGCCGGTGAAACCTCTTACATAGGCTCTCTTCTCCCAGCACTGGAGAGCAGCCCTCACCTGGCAGCCCTGCAGCGGTCTGCCAATCAGAGGAAAGTGAATATTTTTAACCATAGATTGTAAATACAGTTCCCCAGTTTCATGAGACGGCCTTAAGCCTCTACATAAGCCGGTGAAACCTCTTACATAAGCTGTCTTCTCCCAGCACTGGAGAGCAGCCCTGCAGTGTTCTGCCCCCCATAAGGCTTCCAGAGAGATGGCCAATCAGAAAAAAGTGGCCACGTGGGGAAGGGGGGCCTTAAAGAGACAGACAGAGGGTTTTTACTGACGCCAGTATCGGATAAATAAGACGTTTTCTGAGCTGCATATCATTTAAAGCTGCTCTTTAGGTTTCACAGACTTACGACATGAAAGGAGATAACGAGGACAATATGGGAGCTTCAATTATCATAGGGGACAAGAAATGCTCGCGGAGGTGCACTCACAAGGCCAAGAATGAGGCCAAACTTTTTTAGCAGAGCACGATCAGATGAACCCACGCTGCTTCTGAGGATGTGTCTCATTTTAACGTGTTCAAACGCTTGTCATGTGGAATGCAATGCAATGCAAAAAAAAAAACATGTTTAATTAACAGAGAGCAAATTAAATTACGCAAAGAAAGGGCAGGGAAGCAACCTTGGAGCATCTGTTGTCTTTGTAATTAAAAGTCCCTCTTTGTCTGCTAGTCATCAAGCATCTCCCAGTGGCAATGTTACCGAGCAGGCAGATCTTCAGTGGAGCAAAAAAAAAACCTCAGACAGCAATTCTTTCAGGCAAAAATACACCAGCCGCATCAACCAAAACCCTTCCAATTAAAAATTCTTCTATCACATATTTAGATCCTATTATTCAGAATCTGTTGGAGGCCCAGTTAGTCAGCCAATCTGTCCGCCGTCTCCCTCCAGGCTGAGGAGTCTCGAGACGTATAGAAAAGATTGCCATGAACATTTTAAATTACGACTGGTGCTCCTCCAGTGGCACCGTGACACTGGCATTTGTGATTTTGAGACAAATGTCAGCACAGCTATAGGATAAATTACCATGACATTTGGTATAGATATTCATAACCAGCTCAAGAGGAGGCGGGGTCAAAGTAACTTTTCATCAAGGCATTGGACTATGATTTCTGTTATTGCACTGGTGTTTGAAGAACCTGATGTTTATTTATCTTTAAATGTAATAATATTATATGTTTAATTTGAATGATGCTGAATGTTGACAAATGTATCACACTGTGGGACAATAAAGTTCTTCTTGGTCTTGAATTAGAGCCTGACTGATATTGGTCAGCTGGTCTAATCTACAATTCTACAATTCATTCGCTTTTATCCAAAGCGACATACATCAGAGAGTAAGAACAACACAAGCAAAGATCTAGAAGGAGGAAACAACGTCAGGAAGAGCAAACAATCAGCTTTGAGTCTGATTGGACACACAGGTGCTGACAGGAAGTGACCAGAGGCAAAGCACAACATTGAGGGCAGTTCTTGAGAGCTCTAATCAGTATAGAAACCATCTTATAAGTCGTCGTTATCAAACAAAAACCATCGTCATTACCATCATCATCATCAATGATATGGAGACCATCATCATTAAGTTAGTAGGTATTCATGAAAGAGCTGGGTCTTTAGCTTTTTCTTAAAGGTGCAAAAGGACAGATTGAATGTGGTTAGGGAGTTCGTTCCACCACTGGGGGGCGACAGAGGAGAATAGTCTGGTTAGAGTCTTAGGACCCTGTTGTGAAGGTTGGATCAGTTTTAACTTTACTGGAGCAGTAACTGGGAGCCAGTGTAAGTAAATAAACAGCGGAGTGACATGTGCTCTTTTAGGGAGGTTGAAGACGAGTCGTGCTGCTGCATTTTGTATCATCTGTATTATCTGTTGATCCAGATCGGCCTATCAGAGATATATCGGCTGTTATTACACGTCTTTGTAAAAGACTTGATTCTGATTGGCTAAGTATGCATGGTTACCAGACATAGTACACACGGTTAAAAAGTTAAAATCTGCAAAGTTTGATGATGTTTTCTGTCAGAAATGTGTTTGCTGGATGTCTCCTGTCTTTCATTGATCCATGCACTTTGACAAATAAAACATGTTTATTTCCTACACCTGTTCTTCAATATTTTAGGTTTAAGTTCACATTTTTTAGTGTTTTGATCCTTCCACACAGTACCTGAAATGCATGCGGCGTGTCGTCCACACAGTAGACCCTGAGCGTGAAGCCCAGAGAGTTGCTGTTATCTGGACTACCGAACACAGCCAGCCTCAGACGCTTGGCTGCCTCCTGGTTCAGCGGCTCTCCCACCAGGGCGTAGCGACCTGGATGCTCCAGCAGCACGTGGCACCTCTGGGCCTCCAGCAGGCAGTAGCAGGATGTGCTCTCCTCGTCCACTGACATCACTTCCTGTCGGGGGAGGGGGGAAGACACATGAGAAGAGAGGGGGATTTAGTTTTGTATTTATGTTCTGAGACATAAATAGTTCATTCTGAGTTTAATCATGGGAATAGTTTAGAGTCTGAAGGCTTGCTTTTTAGTGGTTTTCATTTTTGGTTTGAGGATTCAGCAGCCAGCTACACAGAGTGAAGCTGATTTATGATTCTAAACATTACTGCCAAGACTTCGTCTGCAGAGGGAGAAAGCTCTTAACCACAAACTGAAAGCTGAAAACCATATAGCTCCTGTTATGCGAGTCAGGGGTTTAATGATGTGCCTGCTTTGAAATACTTTTTCCAGGCAAGAACCTCTTGAAATTCATCGACTGGATGAAAGGATGGACGGCATGACAAGGTCACAAGCAAGCGGCAACCTCCGGTGTTGAGTGCAAAAGTGCAACAAGACGGCATTTCAAGGAGTGTCCGTTTGAAGCCTGATGTTTAAATTTCTGTTTCGACAGCAGAAAAAAAAATCATATTTACATTCGCCCTGTGTGAAAATGATTTGGGTCTTAACAGTTATTTTCTTAATGAACACACAATAATGCAGTGGGGATTTTATGAAGCATATGATTGATGCATAATTAAGAGCGCAGCTGATCCGCCTGTTAGCGACCCTGTCAGCAGGTTGACTGAAAGTTTGACAGTCATCCAATATAGTAAAAACCATGGAGAGACTTCCAAAAATGCCCGTCAGAGACCAACGAGTGACGTCACCCAGGCTTTGTCCATGTAATTAAAGTCTGTGGTCATAAGCTCTGCCTCCTCCATGTTAACAGATGGGTCATGGGTCAAACTTTTAAACCAAACTACACGTCAACATGTATTTCTCAAACATGGCTTCTGTCATTAAAGTTATATCTCGTCATGCAGAATCATCCGCGATTGATTTTTTTTTTTCTCAGAGAAGTGTTATTTTTAATGAGTTATTTGATGCTAAAGAAATGACAACTCTGTTGACAAGTGATGCTCCAACGGTGCTGTGTGCATCAGAGGAGAGTATTCATGAGCAGAGTAGAGGAGGAACGTAACAAACACAAACAGTGTCTGCCTCAAACCGACACAAGCATCTGATTTGCTTTGGACTGTACCGACCTGAGGGATCTTTAGCCATTTTATTGGCAAAGAGGGGTAACACCCTACAAGATAACTGGGCCGATTTTGGGCCTGATTCCCCTCAACTGACCAAAGTGAGAAAAGGCCCGATTATCTGACTGTTTCGAAGATGATCCTGGCAGATTCTCCTGAGGCGTGAGGTGTGTTACTCTCCCTGATGTGACGATCAGGGTCGCTCCTGGTTTGAAATCATAAATATAAAAATAAAAAAAAGTTCAATATGTACGATTAGAAATCCTGTTGTGTGGGGAGAACACAGAGGACGGCAGAGCACGGACTCTGCAAACTGTCACATGGAATGGAACAACAGGGAGGCAAGCTGCCTGAAGCAGGAAGCACAACAAACAAACATTACCATGGCAACGACAGGAAACGCAAGTTAGATGGACGTCATAAATGGAGGAGCAACTTGTTGATTTGTGGCAACAATACGTGTGTTTATACAATGTGTCCTGTTAAGCACCACAGTCCAACTGGAGAGGAAAGAGTTGGACCGAAATGTTTTTAATGGATGAAGCAGCTAACAGCTAGCCACATTTAGCTTGCCCATCATGTTTGTTTACTCTTAAATCACGCGACCGACTAAGCGTTTAGAGAGTGGAGACTCTGGTCGTTAGTGAATTAATCTGTTAGTTTTGAATTAAATGTGTGTCGTGGTTAGAGGACCTTAAATCCTGGCTCCAACAGCTGATAACCACTGCACAGATTCTGGCTCCAAATGACGAATATGTCAGCGTCCATTTAAGAAATTCAAATATGAAAACTACTTCAGCTGCATGTTAATCCTGTATCATCTAAAATATTATTTCCTGTTTGAAAGAAACCGAAAAGGAAAGACAACAGTGATGTAATTTGACTGTAAATTTATGAACTGAGTAGAAACTACTAAGACACAGACAGTAAACTAGAAAGTGTCCCTCACACACACAGCCACACACACACCCACACACACACCCACACACACACACACACAATCACAATCACACACACACACACACACACACTTTCAGGAAATGTGTGAAGCTGAATGCGAGCCAGATGAATAATCGCACATCTCACTAAACAGATGGGGATACAGTAACACTGACAAAACGGATTAGCGGGGTGAAGTCGTATCCGATGGCCAATTGCTCATCATCCCGCGCTCAATCCGCCCTAAATCACCTCCCGAGACAGAACTGTGACCCGCGGCTCCCCCTCTGCATATGGCCTGGCTGAGGCCATAAAAAAGCAATGTGGGGGTAATTTAGTGGCCCACGGATTCCTTAAACCTGCCCCATTAGCGCTGCGGCGGACATGAAGGATCTCCACGACATAGCTCATCCCCGCCGGGGCGGCTGGGGAGGAATGATGGAGTCAAACTCCGAGTGCGAGCTGTAATGGGGATGGAACTGAGAAGGGAGACGGAGCGAGGGAAAAGGGGGGACGAAGACGAAGACAGAGTAGGAGAAAGACCTCCATCTCCCATTATATTATTAATTCCAGAGATTAGGTTTTGAGTGAGCATCCTTCCTAAGATAAAGGGCTCATTATTCGGCGCTGACAGGGACGGGTCACAGCGTTACATTTTCTTAGAGAACATCTCCTCTCTGTCCGTCTCCTTCCCTTTCCTCCTCTTTCCTTTTGGCATATAGTCCCCCATCAGTGACAGTCTTTTGATAGCTCCCTTTTGTGCAACACGGCTGCTGGCAAATTACATCTTGTGTAAATGTCACGCAGAGTGAAGGGACCAGGCTGGGAGGAAGACCACGAAGCCCTCCAAGGTCACACAAACCTCGACGACTCGGGGGGGGGGGGTGGGGGGGGGGTCGCTCGGCCTCGATGAGGTCCCCCAAAGCTTCTTGATGAGGTTAGTTAAATATTAAAAGAGCATCTTAGATGTGTGGACTGTGCAGCCGCGGTGAGAGATAATGGATGAGAGGGCGGTTTGGATTGAAGTAAGATGTCTGAACAAGTCTCGGTGAGGCCGGGGAGTAGCTCTGCAGGGCAGGGTTGAAGGACTTTGCAGAGGTGTTATTTTACAAAGAGAGAGAGAAGAAAAGCTCACAGCAGCCATCACAGAAATAGCTCTATACGCTGTATTTATAGACACGGAGTCCTGAATCTTTTAGAAAGCAAACACTTTCCGTTTTTTGACCTCACACTGAGGTTTGAGAATGGACTTCAGCTATTTTTTTTTTTTTTTACAGTAAGTTACTTGTCAATTGCTGCCAGTTAAATACTGTGAATTTCACAGTCGGTTTTTACAGTGACGAGCAGTATTTGATGAAAAACTGTCTAAAAAAGGTTCATTTTAAATCTTGTCACAGGTGCAGGGACATCATTCTTATTAGAAATACCTTCTGTGATGAAACCGTGTTACTGATGCAGAGCAGAGCTGACAGTGTTATACTTTATTTGTAAGCCCTGTGAATCAAGCCATTTACTATGATCCCGCCCCTTCTGCTGTGTGTCAGTGTGTCACCCAACATCCCCCACGACCAGCCACCACCATCGGACTGTGTCGTCCCTCCTCCTTAGACTAGTGTTTAAAACGGGTACTGCAGTCTAAATTCAAAACATTGTAGAGAGCTGTCCCCCCCCCCCTCGTCTCTAGAGTGGATGCTCACTCAGGTCACCATGTGGTGGACTCTGAAGCTTCAGTGTTTATCCAGCTCTGCATGGGTCTGTAAACCTTTCTGTGTTCTAACCTCTCTCCATTTTTCAAAAGCATCTCCAATATTGATCCTAGTTTGAGCACGTTTCTGCTCGTGGAGCTTATTAGAAACATGCAGAGGCTCCAAAACGGCTATGTGGGGGTGCCTTAAAAGCGCCTACCTTCTCTGGTCCAAACAAATCCAGAGCATTCAGGAGCAGAATCTAAAGTTAGAAGGAGGACATACTGGCTGCTGTATTGTTGTCAGAGAAGCCAGCACTTCAACATAGCATGTTTCCATAATGTCTGATTGTAATATGATATAGTCATATGCTGCTTTTAAAGGGCAACACTTCTTGTTTCAGCACGTCTTGCAGGAGTGTACAGAAACCCTAACAGCCTATTTCAAACCAGTCTTATACTACAGATACAGACGCCAATAACACATTGGCAAAACAAACAACTACAAAAAAAGAAAAACAGACACAATTTGCAGACTGTTCCAACATATTTGTCTTTTGTCCTCATTGTAATGTAAATTGTGTTTGTTGTGTTCAAAAATTCATTAACAGCTGCACCGCATTGAATGAATTCACACATTCATGAAAGAGGAATGCTTTAAAATACCATTATCATCTTATCAAGTGGAAAAAAAAAAGAAAGAAATGAATGTTTCAGTGACTAATAGCAGTCATTTGCATTCGCCCTGACATTTCTTTTGGATGTATGACAGCATGAGGTAGAGCTTGAAAGGCTGAATTTTTATGCAGAATGACAAATCTGAGCTGGCAACCCTGAAATCAGCTCCGCGCTCGCATGACTTCACTGCTGGATGAAAATGTTCATCAAAGTAAGTTGAAGCTGTTGTGTGTTGCTGCGTATTGATATTCCAGGCACAATGTGAAAGTGTGTTTGTACTCGTTTAAGAGTCTGCGTCGACGCCCCAGCAGAGAAATCTGGACCCCGATAATTATAGCTGAAGTGAGAGAGAAAGAGATAAACGGCTCACCTCCCACTTGTTGTCCTGCAGTTGTCTCTTTAGCCGGACGGTCCAGTTTTCAGGGGCAACCTCGGCACAATGGGCGATGGTCATGGCTATGGGACAGGAGAGGTCGAGGCCGGGCGGGCCGTACGTGACGGCGGGGCTCAGAAAGATCTCTGGAGCGTCGTCAGACACAGCACTACACACACAGAGGGACAGGAAAGCACAACAAACATCAAATGAGCTCAAGATGATTGGGTTGAATGAGCTACTTTACACAGCGTTTTACAAACAGTATTACCTTTACCTTCCATGCAAACTTAAAGAGGACATATGATCCCCCTCCTCCCCCTTTTCAAACAGTCCCCCCTGTGGTCTAAATGAAACATCTGTGCTGTGCTTTGGTCAAAATATAACATGAATCAAGCACCAGAGGAGGTTTGTGACCCTGTATAAACCAGCTCTCTCAGAACGCTCCGTTTTGGTGTGTGTGTCTCTTTAAATGTAACAAGCCCCCCCTGAGTTTTCCTGGTAGACATCACTCATCTGTTAAGAGAATAAAAATTGCGGACCTGAGCAAAAGTTTTGTTCTAGGCCTGGGGTGAAGGTTTTTTTTTTTTTCTAGAATCCCACTGTGACATCACAAACTGAGTAAATTAGAAACAGAGCATTTTTCTCTGTGTTGTAAGACTTATGCAGACCACAAACAAAGGACTGGATGGGTTTATTTCACATTTTGTGGGTCAGTAGACACTCAGGTTACCCAAATATATGTTCAACAACTCTGCAGAAGTGGATTTTTCAAAATATGTCCCCTTTAAAAGTGTAATGTTCACATTTATCAGTTGATAAACTGAGTCTGAAATTGAAATCCTGATGTCTCTATTTCAGCCCATTTCTGACATTTCCTTTACGATTAAGCTTTTTCCAAAACCAGCTTTATCTGCTCGTTTGAACCTTGTGTTGGCTTTAACCCTCGGACGCAGAATTGGTCTGCTTCCCGTTGGACAGGCAGGTATCAAACACGGCGGTTAGCTTGTGCTAGCATGCGGTAGCTCGCAGTGTATAGGTAGAAGCAGTAAACATACACACTACGCCCTGTAGTGGGCCCAGGAGGAGGGGTTTGAATGTTGTGTTTACAAGCTGCAATGAACAATGCTGCTGAGAGAAATGTACAGATTCTGTGGTATATGTTCATAACTCTATACACAAACTGTCCTCACTCTCTCCTGGTAGCTTTTTAGCTCCAAACATTGTTCCAGGGAGGGAACCATTTTTTCCTTTGACATAGAATTGTTTCACTTCTCTTTCAAATTTCACTACCAGATCTACGTAGTGCACCTTTAAAGCTCCTGTGAGGATCTTTTGGTTTGTGTTGATTTTGGCGCCCTCTGGTGGACAAAGCGTGTGCACCTCTAATCTCTTTGCTCATCTTCTCCTGTACACGTCTACATCCTGCTTTTTTCAACAGTAGAAAAATCACTTTTTCAGAATCTCTAATGTGAAAAATTTAAATAAATTCTGCATCGTGCTGTTCATCTTCTCCTCTGACGCCTACCCCCCTTGGCAGCAGATACAGGCATTAAAATATAAGATACAGAAAAGGATCAATACTGCTGCGTACAGCGCCCTCTGCTTGTATAGGTCACTTCAAGGCATCGATATTAATTTCATAACCTGATGAAAAAACTCCTCACAGGAGCTTTAAATTCCTCTTCTCTGCATTTTAATATGACCAAGAAAAAAAGAGCCGGCCGCCTTTTACTTTTTGAGACAGTATGAACATGAAGACATAAACAGCACTGCCTTAATGAATCACTGCTTTAAACAGGGCGTCCGTGTAGCAGAGTGTGACCCTTGCCTTGGAACAAAGTAAACTCAAAATCCTCGGACGCTCATAATGAATCAATCCCTGACTAGCTGACACACAGACGCACAGATAGGGGGAAGATTAAAGCACCAAGACTAATGGACAGTGGGGCTGGGGAGGACAGGCTCTAGCACACAGCGTGTAAGCTCGGCGGGTCGATGGGGCTTATGAAGCCCTGCTCTGGCCGGCCCGGTGACAGATTAGCTGGGCCGAGCTGCTCTTGGCCGGGGGCCCAATCTTGGCTGGAAGCCCTGAAGACTGAGAGCAATCAATGGGACCACCATCAGTCATGCAGTTGGCCCGGCTGGACACCTCACACATACAGGACACAATATTGGTGGTGTTGTCACCGCAGCAGCGTGGATATTTTCTCAGAGTCATTAATACAGCTGCAGCGGGGGGACAAACTGTGACATGATGCATCACAAGACGTGTGAAGTGGAGCCACACGTGTACGCACACAAACATAGGAGACACCCGCAGAGTGAGAGAGAGAGAGAGAGAGAGAGTGTGGAGAGTGTGATTTTTTTATAGGTTCCACTTCTCATGTTGACACATAAAAAACTGAACCAGCTGACTCCATATATAACCCGGTCAATAGCCGTGTCCCAGTCCAATCTTGCACTCTGATTCTAAGTAGGTTTCCTGTCTTTGGTTTTACTCACAATGGAGCGGAAATAAAGTGAATAGCCTCCAACACAGAAGCAACAATATTACAACTGTTAGAGGGGGTGCTGCTGTTGCACACAGTTGTCACATGAGGAAGAAGAATTGATCATTCAAAAATAAAATCTCATTTGATCTTTTAGTCGTTTACGTTTATGTGATGTTTAAAGTTTTTTATGTTATGTCTTGCAAATGTTCAAATTTAAATCACACTATTATAAAAATGACAATCCCTGCACACTGATTCTGCACCTCTGGTTTTTCCTTTTAACTATCCCTTAAACTGTAAAGGTGTCGAACTTGAACTCGGTCTTTCTCGGGATCTGAAGCATGCTTACTCGGTCTTGTCTCGGTCTCAGACTGTCTGGACTCCAGATTTTAAATCAAGACCACCACTGACTGATTGGTTATTTTTCCTGATCATTACTGTGATTTGAAGGAAAACACCTCTCTCTCTAAAAGAACAAATATCTTTAATTCATTTAATTCATTCAGTCCCTCGGTTACGACTGCAACCTTCCTGCTGAGATTTATGGTCTTAGTCTCGTCATGGTCTTGCCCTGCCTTGGTCTTGGTCTTGACTCGAGCTCAATCCCTGAATGTCTCAGTCTTGTCTCGGTCTTGGAGCACTCTGGTCTCAGGTATGTCTTGGTCTTGACTTGGCCTCCATCCCTAAATGTCTTGGTCTTGACTCAGTCTCGGAGCACTCTTACTCGGGTAAGTCTTGGTCTTGGTCTTGGTCTTGACTCGGTCTCAATCCCTAAATGTCTCGGCCTCGTCTTGGTCTCGGAGCACTCTGGTCTCAGGTATGTCTCGGTCTCGGTTAGTGTTGTCTTGACTACAACACTTTTAAACTCGTCTGTGCACGTCAGCAGAATAAAGAAACACAAGTACTTCTTTTAAAACCAGTTTAAAAAGCCCTTCTGCAGGGGAAGGATTTTTTAAGTATTTCCATTCCTGCAACAATTACCTGAAAGAAACACAACATTTTCTGTGTTAAAAAATAAAGAGGTGTGAGGGTGAGGTGTGTGTGAGTGTGTGAGTGTGTGAGTGTGTGTGTGTGTGTGTGGTTTCTTATTGTGAATGTAGCGTTCCTAGGAAACGCGGCATGTGGCTGATGACGTTGTGCTCCTGATATTTTAACATTTTCTGCACACTACTATTTCATGAAACTCTATTCTGTTCCACTCTTCCCTCTGTCCATTGGGTTCTCGGTTCCTCAGTTACCAATCAACACTAAAAAATTTAAAGAGGTTACGATCTGCTGTCTAAAAATAAGAATCACACACCCAGAGAGCGGCGTGGCCCTGCAGCTTCACTTTTGTGCTAATCAGCCCCCGCGGCTCAGAGGAAACCAAGGTTACCTGCTGCCGAAGCTATGCTAATTAGCCCCATTTCCTGTGAGCAAGATTAAAGGTGGTTATTTAGCTTCTCTGATTGTGCTTATGAGAACAAAGAGTTATCACTGCACAACAATGGTTAATGTGTAGATGGGTAATTGGGGTTATTAGTGAAGTCTCCCAATCGCACAACAAAACACACCTCTTTCTATTATTCACCCCCCCCATCTCCCAACACAATAATTAAGAACATTTTGACATTTCCTCATTCCTATTCAACACTGTGTTTCCAGCTATTACAGTAGCAGTAATCGGAAATTTACCAATTAAAGACCTGACACTGAACTCTGAAGGTTTCATTTGAAGAGTCACTCGACTGAAACTAAAATAATTAACAAAACCCTGAAAGGAACAATGTGCGAAATATTACACAGAAATAAATCATAAAGTCTCTCCTGTGTAAATGTGTCTCTGAGTCCTGACTGTCTACAATGAGGGAGAAGCTCGAGTCCCGCTGGCTGTGTTGTTGTCAGAGCCGTGTTTACATGGACGGGACGGCCGGCTCCTCCCCTTGTGTATAAAAGCTGTTTTAGTCAAGAACTAGAGAGAAGAAGAAGAACATACTCACTGATTATTTGGATGTTAGTAAGAGTTTTTAGATCACGCTCATTCTGTGTCAGTTTACATGAAATGTGAAGCTACGAGCTAACTAAAGAGCGCTAACATTAGCATGCTAACACAACAATGCAGGACACAGGTGATGTGAAGCTACGAGCTAACTACAGAGCGCTAACATTAGCATGCTAACACAACAATGCAGGACACAGGTGATGTGAAGCTACGAGCTAACTACAGAGCGCTAACATTAGCATGCTAACACAACAATGCAGGACACAGGTGATGTGAAGCTACGAGCTAACTACAGAGCGCTAACATTAGCATGCTAACACAACAATGCAGGACACAGGTGATGTGAAGCTACGAGCTGACTAAAGAGCGCTAACATTAGCATGCTAACACAACAATGCAGGACACAGGTGATGTGAAGCTACGAGCTAACTAAAGAGCTCCGAGTGGAGAGGGGTTGGAGGTGTGTCTCTGGAGGAGAGCGGAGGCTTCAGTACGGAGGAGGCGTGGCCAAACAAGCAGTTTGTTTTGGTTTCACGCTGGAGCTCAAGGGCGACATCTACTGGATCAAAAAGTCGCATACTGAAGCCTGTATATTGATAACAGAGCGGATAACCATTATACACACAGCGGTCTCAACTCGTCAATCACAGGAAGCCACGCCCTGAATCACATCCCGCTTTAGCATCCACATGGCTTTAAACGGTTCCAGATATTCTTTTTGAGAGATTCAGTTTCTTTCATACAAAAGGAAAGCTGAAGTGAGACGAGGAATGTGAGGAGGAGGAGGAGAGATGCACCAGAGGGACTCAGGTTGGAGTTCAACCTGCGGCCGATGCAGCAAAGCCTTTGCCTCTGTTCATGGAGCGCCTGAGACAAACAGGCGCTCCATGATCGGCTCCATAATCAACAACGGACATCATGCTGTGTTAAAAAAACACTTTCTGTTTGTAAATGAGATCATTAGCAAAATATCTAATGAGGTAATAAATATGATGATATGTAGGGTAATTTTCTCAGAGACATTTAGACGATCAGTCGGGCTTCATTGTGCAACCATTGGGAACTCCCCCTGCTGGCCGTTTGATAGAATGCATTCTGACAAAGCTCAATCCAAGAGGCTACATCCACTTCCAACACAAAGTCTGCGTGTTATATTGGTGCGGCTGAGGCTCAGTTGGTAGAGTCGATCCCCAGCTCCTGCAGCCACATGACCGACGTGTCCTTAGGCAAGACACTGAACCCCAAGTTGCTCCTGCTGCTTCGATGGCAGCCTCTACCTCAGTGTGTGAATGTGTAGGTGTGACCTGCGGTGTAAAAAACGCTTCGAGTCGTCAGAAGACTAGAAAAGAAATATACCATTTATGCCCAGGAGCCATTAAGCAATCTTCAAACACCTATAAGCAACTTTTTTGTTGTTGGAATGGCCGAGATGAAGACAGAGCCTGTTGCCATGGATACCACTCTGATAAAAATTTGATTAAATGTTCTTTTTGGGTTTGCTAGTTGTGTATAAAAAAACCTTCTGCTTACTTTCATGTTTGCTACAACAAATGTTTGAGGAGCTAATGGTTCTTTCTTTTAGGTTTACAGTTTGTTGTATTGGAATCTAAAATCAGTGAAAGAAGAAGAATTACGGGTCATTTTAAGAAGATTTTACGAGGTTCAAGAGGCTAAACTTTTGGTCTGGTCTGACAGGAGAGCACACAAGACATGACTTTAAAAAATCAACCACCAACCAAAAAACTACAAAAAGGAAGTTGACAGTGAGGCGGGTACGAGTGACACCGAGGCGTCAGAGTAAAAGGTCTGCTCAAAGCCTCTCGACTCATTCACTTAAACGTGTGTAAGTCGCATCATATCAGGCGCTTGGTGGTCACATGGTGTGATTCCGTCCTTGGACTACCAACCATCCCCCCTGTTGGGATGAAGAACACGCACCAAACGAACTGCTACAGCCCACAGGATGAGCGGAAAAAACCTCCCGTGAGCACCTGAAACTGAGCCCGCGCCGATCGATTGGTTCTTGAAGAAAGCGTTGTCTTATGTAGATGGCCTCCGGGTTTTTGAACGGAGAGGAAAAAGGATCCAATTTCTCCTGCGGACTCTGCGGCTGTCAGAAGATAGGGCTTTTGACTGACAGCTCAGTGGTGCACGGCTCCTGCAGCTTTCTTAAACGACAGCCAGAGAAGTAAACAGCATCGGGCTTATCAGAGCAAAGCAGGAGCCTGGAGGGCAGCAGCTTGGCTTTGGATTGGGAGAGGCTTTAGGCGAGGGAGTGTATTACTCCTGCCCACTAACCGAGCTCTGCACCACCAGCCTTTAACTGACCTTTGATCTGTATCTTCAATAAATGAGCCCTGTAGACGCCACATGGTGCGGTGGAGGGTGAGGTCAAGTGACAGGTTATGATATTTACAATAAAAAAAAACGAATATGTAGTGCACCTCTCAGACCAAAAAGCTGCTCTGAATGCTTCACAATGAGCAAGAAAAACATGAAAACTGACAGAATGAAGAAGAAGAAAAAAGTGCTGTAAAGATCAATAGTAACAATTGTTTTGGGTGTAATTGACAAAACTTTTTCACAGATGTTGCAATGATAACAAAGGCCCAACTGGGGACACGAGTTGGAAATTAGCAATAGCTATATACTCTTTATGCAGCACATCCATTTCATGCTTTGTATTGAAATTATGTTAAATTGCATTGTCCCTATTAAATAAAAAAATTCAATTCAATAGAGCAGCAGGAGATTTCAGTGTTTTTGAAGGCAACTTTCTAACAAGAAGGACGCTTGGTCTTCAGTCATAAAGAGCTACATTCAATGTTTTCATGCACAGTTAAGTCGAGCTAATTAGATTACTGTCCTCCTCTCGGTATAAAAAAACTGTTGGAGAATCTAGAGACTCCACTAAACACTAGTGCGATTTTTCACACTTAAATGTAGAAATCAAGTATCTCCTCTATAATAACTCTGTGAGTCATGACTGTCTACAATGGGTGTAACACCCGAGTCCCACTGTCTGTGATGTTTTCAGAGTTTTCAGAGTCCTATCTTCACTTTGTTTACATCGCCAGGACGGCCGGCTGACTCCTCCCCTCGTGTATAAAAGTTGTTTAATTGAGGGACTAGAGAAAAGAAGAATAACATACTGTACTCACTGCTTAACTGTGTTTCTAGATCACGCTCATTTCAGGTACATTTACATGCAGTGTGAAGATACCAGCATAATAAAGATCGCTAGCATTAGCATGCTAACACAACAATGCAGCACGAGTTGTTTTGGTTTCATGCTGGTGCTCAAGGGCGACATCTGCTGGATCAAAAAAATCACATATAAAGCCTTTAAACTAGTTACTCTCGGACTTTCTTGCATTGACCTTGCTAATAAGTCAGCAAGCAGAAACTGTGATGCACGCTATCCCTCTGGCTCAGGGGTGGGCAACTGGCGGCCTGGGGGCCAGAATCTGCCATGAAATCCTGAAAACCAGAAATATGTCCATGATAATATTTGATCACTGGTATATGTTGAGATAAATTTGAGACATAATCGACTGTAATCGTTTTTGTATTCTACAATTTGGCCCCCTGGCAGTGAGAATTAAATGAATGTGGCCCTTGCTGTGACCAAAGTTGCCCAGCCCTGCTCTAGCTTGTTGTCTTATCCAAAGGCAGACAACCTCCCAAGTTCTATTATATGACATAAAATGCTGTTCTTATTCCGGGTCAAAGCCCCCCCGCATTGGAACCTGGAGCACCCACAGAACGCCAAGTCCAGTCTGAGGTTCTGATTGAGGCCACCTCTAGATGTGTTTGTCTTACTTCAAGAAAGTGGACTCATCATGTTTACATGCTTTTTAAAAGTCCAGTTTCAGTCGGACTGACACAATAAATAAACAGTTTTTTCTTATGTCATGAGCGGCTCAGGTGTATCGTGCCTGTGTTGGATGGAGAAGGATTAACGCAACCAAACCTGACCTGAATTTGAGCACTTTTATCCCTTATGGACACTTTTAGAAATATTATTTTTAACCGCCCAATACCTGACTCTAACTGTTTTATTTTAATTACTGACTTGTCACTGTAGTCATTTCAAGCTTTTAAATTATTTTAGTGTATATATTTTATTGTTCTTATTGCTCTTTTATTGATTTTATTTTCTGTAGTAGCTTTATCTCATTTATGTATGTTTTCTCGGCATCATTGTAAACGAGGGTCGCCCTCAAAGATCTCTCCGAGAACTTAAATAAAGGTTGATGATGAAACAAAGAGCATGCCGAAAGTCGCCCCCAGCAGACTGAGGTGGCAGCTTTTATAATGACTGTGAGCACCGGGCCCAGGTGCTCACAGTCAGACTGATTGGACAGACACGCCTACCAATTACCAGAACCTGCAACACAAGAGAAGAGAAGACACAACCTGACAGGCCACAGGGCGGTCACACTAAACGTACTGAATGATTGGTTGGAACTAAAGTTTGTTTTTGCTTCTTCTTTCCTCTGATTCTGACTCAAACTGCACTCACACAGATTGTCACATGTTCCATTACTGTGTGCAATAACAGCAGACAGACATCAAAATGAGCTGCGATTTTTACATCTCCCCGTCTTTTCTACAGTTATGGACGTTTGTTTTCACTCTGATTTTCAGGCCACTTAACGAGACTCTCAGACTTAATCATCATGTTTGCATTTTTTATGATTTCCTGTTTAAATTAGAGGCTTCAACCGAGCTGCACGGTTTTAATTCCAGACGGCTCTGAATGGCACTTTTGATTCTCCCTCAGATGTATAAAAATGGAATTTCTCGGGGCGGCTTAGCGCTGTTGTTAAGGTGATAGCTCACCCAGCAGGGTTTCACTCTAGACCTGCCGAAACGTTGATACTGTCTGCTGATAATCAAGGACATGTCCAAAAAAAAAGGAAAAAGTGACTTGTGGCTGTCAGATAGCTTTCTGAGGCTCTGCTGGGTATAAGTCAAGAAGTATTAAGACTCTTTCTTGAAATGCTTCTTATCTATCTTAGCGTTTCCTCCTGAAGTATTAGCTTTTGTGAAATATCTCGACAGGAAAGGTTGCAGGAATGAACTCCCGCTTGGACGTGAAACTTTGCAGCGTGTAACATTCTGACGATTCTGAAAAATACAGAACAAATCAATACCACCTAGAATCATGACTTCACATCAAAGTTCACAATCCTCACCAGTCAGAGTGGAAACGAGATACTGTCACGGCCGTGTCTTGCAAACACAAAGCGGGCTACCAACAGTCATGGAGAGTATCTCTTTCTCTGCGGAGACAGTTGCTTAAGGCGGGTAATGCAGTCTGTCTGCAGCTGCCAATGTATTTGTGACACATCATGTCGTCCCCTGCAGAGTCTGCGAGATGAGCAAGGGACCCCTCGCTGGGTGAGAATATGCCTTGCATCTGGGCGTGTGTAAACGCAGAGCACATGTGACTGCTGCATGAGTGGATCAGAGTGTGAACCTGTGCATGTTTGTGCCAAAAGAGAGAGAGAGAGAGAGAGAGAGAGAGAGAGAGAGAGAGAGAGAGATATGAGCGGGAGAGGGAGGGGGAGGGAGGGATGAGAGGGATGTTGCGCGACGGGCTGAAAGATTAAAAAGCGAGCAGACTGCAGAGTCCCTCACCTGCTGTCCTCCTGGTTGATGATCATGTACATTTCCCAGGTAGTGTCTTCTGCGATCCCCCCGTGAGGCACCAGCACACTGATACCTGCAGAGGAGGAAGGCATGCAAGAGCCAATCAACACACATGGTCACACACTTGTACACACACACACACATACACACACCTGCCGGGCTGTCAGTTCTCCTTACTGGAAGGTGACAGCCGGAGAGGTGACGGCCCCAGAAAAAAAGGTGACGGAGGTAAGTCCCGGAGGCCTTGTGAATCAATGCTGCCAGCAGTCTTACTGTCGAGCGACACACACTCTCCGACTGACGCTTTCTTGGAGAGACACACACACACAAGCGCACACACACAATATTGTACCGTATGATAAACAATTACTGCCAATCTACAGCGCAGTAGATAAAGCGCCTCCGGGGAACAGGATGATGAATGTAGGCCAGGGGAACGAGCTGCCGCCCTGAACGGTGAAGCAGACGGCGCATCACAGGTTTTGCATCAAACAAATGTCCTCGAGGTGGACAAGTGCATGTTTGAAAATGTTAAAAAAAAAAAACTAGAATCCATAATGCTGTTTTTAAAGAAATGTATCTGAAACGCTGCATTTACAATCGTCCGTAAATAAAGCTGTCCACACCTTGAGAAATGTTAATTTGCTTGATCTCGAACGCAGCGTTCAGTTAATAATGCCATCGCTGTCAAAGCCCCCACATTCAGAGGACGTAATTGTCCATTACATTTACATAAAATGGAAATTAGTCTTCGGCGCGTATAACAATACACGTAATTAGACATTAAGCTAACATAAAATGTCATAATGTGACTAAGTGACAGGTGGCGATAAATGTAACGAGTGCATTATTCATGCTCTGACATGAAATAATAAATACATTTTTTACATTTTACACATTCTTCCCTGCAGACAAACATCTTTAAAATGCAGCACCGTGGAGCCGTTTTTTACACATCTGCACTCCTGCACATTTCAAATTGATCTGGTTGTTCACACTTGAACCCCACCATCCCAGTCTGACCAGTAAGGGGGGGGCGAGGGGGTCTACTGAGGCAAGACATGACGTAAAAAGGATGACGCAGGAGTAGCAAAAGAGTTGGCCATACAATGTTATCATGTGAAGATTTTCTTCCTACAATTCACATACAGACACTTTTATCCAAAGTGACATACAACACTAATCTGTTCATACACCACCACTGAAGCAGTGGGAGCAATGTGGGCTTAAGTGTCTTGCTCAAGGACTTGTTGCTCAGCTTGGGATTGAACCCTTGACCTTCTGGTTGAGAGGCAACAACTCTACCAACTGAGCCACAGCTGCTGCTTTGAAAGTCTGAAAACACCAACAGGACGGTCTGGTGCTATGGACCCCCCCTTTCTGTGCCAGTGTGTTACAAACCAAGGAGGCCTTGTCCTGGCAGCAGAGGCCGGACCATCGAGTAGATGGAGCTCCCCCCAGACCTTCAGCGAGGTGACCTGCATATAGATCGTAGGGGACACGTGCATGCAGGCTACGGCCTTACACCGTTTGGAGATAATAAATGTCACCACCCCCTCCCACTCACTCGAGGTCAATTCTCCTGATTATATCCTGCTGCGTCGCATATCAGCTCGGACTTGATGTGGACAAAAAATACTAAAGGGGAAACTCTGGATGAAGTCTGAGTGAAAAATTCAGCTGCTTGCGTTCACACATGCAGCTCACCCTGAAAAGATTTTCAGGAGTTTTGTGCAGGTGTGAACAAAGCTTGTGACTCAAGCTTGTGAAGCTTTCTGCTGAATGTTAAAGTCACAGCTTCTCTGCGATTTGTTGCCTTATGCTGAAGGATTTCAGTTTGCACACACACACACACACACACACACACACACACACACACACACACACACACACACACACACACACACACACACACACACACACACACACACACACACACACACACACACACACACACACACACGGGGGTGGGGGAATGTATCAAATGAATTTTTCCCCACAGTGGACTCACCTGTGTTGGGTACAACAAGCCTCCCTCCAGCGTGACCGAACGCGGCGGTCGCTTTGTGCAGAGGTCTGCTGTGAGTCAAGGAGACTTGTGGAGTGAAGAGGTTTTTTCCTCTCCGGCCCAGCGTGGTCCCCACCGCGACCCCTTTGTAGTCCGGAGCCAGGCCCCTCGGAAATGTCTGAGGGTGGGACATGACATGGTACTCTGCTCTCTCTGACATCCCTAGAGATACAACCGGGAAAAAAAAACAGAGCTGAAGTGAAACACGGTCAGATCACGGACAAGGGCAAAAGAAAAAAAAGAAACTGTTATTTTTCCATCGCTGAAAAAACTCACAATGACACAAAGAGGCATCAGGATTTAGTTCAGCCTGTTTTCATTACCAGTTAAAAACTCCACATAGGAGCTTTAGGCAAAATATCATCTCCAGTATTAAGTTTTCATCTACATCGTACTGTAGTTCTCACGCTAGCTACTTTAACCTTTACGCTTTCGCTGATCAATTTTGAAGGCTACTTTTTTTATTTAAAGGAGCAGTATGTAACTCTGACCCCTAGTGTTTAAAATGGGTACTGCAGTCCAAATTCTAAACATTGTAGAGAGCTGTCTCCCCCCCCTCCTCTCTAGAGTGGATGCTCACTCAGGTCACCATGTGGTGGACTCTGAAGCTTCAGTGTTTATCCAGCTCTGCATGGGTCTGTAAACCTTTCTGTGTTCTAACCTCTCTCCATTTTTCAAAAGCATCTCCAATATTGATCCTAGTTTGAGCACGTTTCTGCTCGTGGAGCTTATTAGAAACATGCAGAGGCTTTTTAGGTCGGGTACAATCACTTCTATCTGAACCACTTCTCTTGCCCGCTTCCATCGCTGCAACACCTGTTGACCTGATAACTGCTCTCATATCTGACAAACCGAGGGGCGTCCAAAACGGCCATGGGGGGGTGTCCTTAAAAGCGCCTACCTTCTCTGGTCCAAACAAATCCAGAGCATTCAGGAGCAGAATCTAAAGTTAGAAGGAGGACATACTGGCTGCTGCATTGTTGTCAGAGAAGCCAGCACTTCAACATAGCATGTTTCCTTTAATGTCTGATCAGAGAGTAAGGTACCTTTATCATTTCACTCAGTAGATACCTTACTGATTGGACCTTTAAGACAGATATATTTACATTTGATAGTGTGAAATGAAAAGGCTGTTTCAGTCTTTAATCAATGACCCATCGTTTAACATTAAACCGTGAAGAAGTCGCTGTAAATCTGTTGTTGATTTGACTGCAGACTTCATGTGTGCCGTGCAAAAAACAGAGAGCTCGACAGGTGTAGCAAGAGTAACTAAACGCGGCTTATTGAACGGTCAAACCTGTGATGCCCTTGAAGGTGATGACCATTTTTTTCTGTGTATGACAGCTTTCTTATAGATTGCCTCATGGGAGAAAGAGTTTCAAAACAAGATGGATTATCCTTCTCACAGCAGCAGCAGGAGCAGCTCAGCGATTCCTCGCCTTTCAAAAAAGTAGTAAACTTCCTCAGCTTTTCAAAATCTTTGTCTGACCTTTGAGATCAGGCAGCGGGTCAAGGAGCGAGCGCTCGGCCATCAGCTCCTTGTCGATGGAGTCCTGGAAACACATGGGGCTGGTGTAGGTGCGCGACACGGTCAGGTCAGGTTGCATGGAGGAATTAATGAGCAGCGGGTTTGCTGAAAAAAACAAAAATAAAGAGAGAGATCAAGTTAAATTACCGCCCAACAATTAGACATCTTTAAAGCAACGCGGAGTGACACTTTGAACCGAAAAATGCCACCGTCAACGGCGATGATAAAAAACCTAACGAGGATATCATGACAGTCGCGCCTACTGCTATAATATCATCGCCATGGAAACAGGACTTTCATTCCACTTAGCATACCAATGGCTCAATTAAAAGTGACGAATGGGAAATAACAAAAGGCTGGGGAGCAATAATGCGCTTCCATTTGATGTCACAGCGGATCAGAAAAAACAAAGAGAGAAAAGTGCTGTGACAATAAGAAGAAACACAGACATCGAATTATGTTATTGATTTATTAACAGAGTTTACTGTCTTAATATTTACATCTGTCCTTCTCCCTTTTGTAACTTCCAAAGGGGAGCAGATGGCGTTGCTGTGGCAACAACGAGCCCGTGCAGTAAATCAGACAAGTCGTTCATGTCGTGAAATTAAAACAACGAGTAAAAGAAACTGATGTGCATCATTAAGAGACAAAGAAAGGAAGATTTAAAGGTTTAATTCTTCGAGAGAGGACGAGCGAGAGAGAGATGGTGGGAATGGCGTGCAGGAAAGGAGTTACAGGTCGGATCTGGACCCAGGCAGCCATCTTGGAGGACCACAACCTCCGTACATATGCAATGTGGTCTCTTACCCTGAAGGCAGACTACACTTTTTTGTCTGTCTGTTACGACGTTCACTGTGTCAGATTAAGCGATCACAGAGTCGTAAATTCGAGCCACGACTTGAAAAACTTTTCCTGTCTCGTAATTCGATCCTGAAGCATAATCATTCTTCCTTTGCGTTCTGCCATTTTTAAATTTTTTGTTTTTATGCTCGAGACGTTTGAGCGTGCAGATCGCTTATCGTCAGACAGAAAACATCGTAGAAAGGTAGAATTAAAATCAAATATGCGAGACTTCCTGTCGGGAGGTTGTGAGGCGTTTAAAGTCAGGATTGGTAATTTTGAAAACGAGCATGATTTTGAAAGTAGCATTCCCTCAGTGCTCCGTCTGCACCCAGCCCCTCCCCCTCTGTGCTCCCTCATAAGCCACGCCCCCTCACTTACATCCAGAAGTGGACCTCAGCTCATCTCTGTCATTGTGTAGAAACTACGTCGTCTCATGTCTCATTCAGTAAACTCTCAGTTTAAACTCCTAAAGTCATCGGTGACGCTCTTTGAGTGTGAGCTAGAGCACGCAAGAAGTAGAGAGCGAGCAGGGAGACAGGGAGGCGTCTGATTGGTTCATCAGATTGGTACCTCGTAGCAGACATTGGTTGAAGTTTTTACAGACTTACAAACTGATACAGATGATGGATTTACTTTGTTCCTTTTTCAGAGAACATGAGTTATTAATCTCTATCAGTGATGATTTATTAATGAGCAAATGGATGTGTATTGAAGATTGATTTGTTGCAAAGACAAAACAGCTGATGACGATTGTGCAGCAGGCTGGAACATGAGAGAGAGAGAGGGAGGACATGTTGGATTTTATGGCGGTTCAGCTGTTTTACCCCCCCCCCCACACACACACACACACACACACCATCGACGGGGAACAGGGACCAAGATTAAAGCCCTCCCCGCCTCCTGCTGTGTTATCAAAATGAACTTTATTACACCCTGCTGAGAGCTGCTGCTGCAGCGGCGACCCATAATGCCAGCCTTGTAAAAATATGCCTCAATCTGTGGGGCAAAAAAAAAAGAAAAAGCGCAGAGTGATCCGGCGCTCTGATGTTTAGGAGACTTGGGAGCACAAAATGCTCCACGCGGGAGCTCGATGGAAAAAAAATGAAAACACTTATAAATTACATTTTCAGTTTTGCAAACATGAATAATTAATGGAGTTTTTTTTTTGACATTTTTTTGCAGGAAAACAGCGAGACCTCTCTTGTTCAACATTTTCTTAAGTTATGGTCCCAGAGTTGGTCTACGTCAAAGCGTGCTTGTAACAATAAACTTCCTGTGACTGTTTTAGCGCGGCGCCTACACTCTGATGTTTGCAATAAAGCAGTAAATGCAGAGCGAGGTTTATAGACGGAGCTCTGTTCTGCATGTTATTGGACATTTAAAGCACTAAAGCACAAACAGCGAGGAGCTGCAGGAGGCTCAAGAGAACACGCGCTGGAGAAACAAATAAATAAATACAGGCCACTAAAGCTTTTCAATTATTGATGCCGTTATATTACAACACCATGAAACGTTTGCATAATTCATGTGTGTGTACGTTTATAGACATTAAGATGTGACGTGTTTGTTTGCATGTTGTGCAGCGATGTTACACAAACACGAGCGCAGACGGACAATTTGAGAATGAAATCAGAAGAACTTGTAACTTCTGATCTACTCAGAAGTTATTACTCTGTTCTGCTTCCTCTGAAGGTTTGTGTGCGTGCGTGCGTGTGTGTGTGTGTGTGTGTGTGTGTGTGTGCGTGTGTGTGTGTGTGTGTGTGTGTGCGTGTGTGTGTGTGTGTCTGTCTGTGTGTGTGTGTGTGTGTGTGTGTGTGTGTGTGTGTGTGTGTGTGTGTGTGTGTGTGTGTGTGTGTGTGTGTGTGTGTGTGTGTCTGTGTGTGTCCCTGTGTGTGTGTGTGTGTGTGTGTGTGTGTGTGTGTGTGTGTGTGTGTGTGTGTGTGTGTGTGTGTGTGTGTCTGTGTGTGTGTGTGTGTGTGTGTGTCTGGTGTGTTGTGCATCTGTGTGTGTCTGTGTGTGTGTGTGTGTGTGTGTGTGTGTCTGTGTCTGTGTTGTGTGTGTGTGTGTGTGTGTGTGTGTGTGTGTGTGTGTGTGTGTGTGTGTGTGTGTGTGTGTGTGTGTGTGTGTGTGTGTGTGTGTGTGTTGTGTTGTGTGTGTGTGTGTGTGTGTGTGTGTGTGTGTGTGTGTGTGTGTGTGTGTCTGTGTCTGTGTTTTTCGATGTTCCTCACACTTTTATCTACTTTGCAGAAAAGCTGAAAGTCAAACTCTTTCTCGTCGTGCGTCATACTTTTTGTTTTGAATAAAGAACACTTCAGTTTGATGAAAATATCTCAATGTTTAAAAAAAACCCCAACAAATTAATTTGAAATGTTTCTGCTTCTCACTTCATTAGATTTTCTGAGGAGTTTTTTTCTTCTCTTGAAACCTGAAACTGATTAGACAATTATGACTGTAAGAGCCGTCGGATAAAAAACACAACTCAAACATGTTCATCAGCTTTTCTTTAACAATGTAAACACGATCGAAACACAAATAATGAACACTATAAAACTTTTTTTTTAAATCTCCTTTTCAAGTGTAGGCCATGTTTTCATTTTCTGCACTTATAAAAAAAGTCACCCTGCTTTCTTTAAAATGTCAAATATATCACTCATGAAGAATTGTTTCAGTGGAAGCTGTTTTGGCGGCGTGCAGCTAAACGCTTTGTCTGACATCTCCAGGTTCCAGGCATTAAAAATAACGACACAAAAAAAAGATCAATCTTGTGTGTGATGGTCTCTTCAGCTTTTGTAGGTCATAAAGAGATGTCAGAATACATTTCAGCGTGTTTCATAACCGCCTCCCAGCAGCTTTAACGCTGTTATCTTAATCTCTCACTGGATGCCGGACGGGCTCGTGCGTGTGGTCGGTCGTTTAAAGGAGAAAGATAAACGCACTTTTTTTTTTCCAAGGTGGCTGCAAAAGGTTGTGTTTATGCAAATGATGGGGAAGTGAGTAATTTTGTTTTAAGCTGCGCCCCTAACAACCTCTTATTGCAAAGTCAAGTACAAAGAGCTCCGTTTATACACGACGGTGAAGAGGCTCTTCAAAACCAAACGTCATGTATGTCGAGTTTGACCTCCGAGATTCATTTAATTCTGTCCAGTAAAAGTTTTCATTTGACATCCTACAAAGTCGCAGCTACTTTTAACATCGTTCTCTTTGCGGTGAGAGTCCTAAATGCTCTGCAGGTTTTATATTTCTTCATCTGTCTATCACAGCAGCTCCATGTGATGATTATTGATTTCTGTTAGTCCTAACATCAGTAAAATTGTTTGATTGATTCAAAGTCAATGTCTTAAAAAAAACATGTGAGCAGTCCACTTTTTGGTCCTTGTTTCTGAAACAGTCTGCCTGAAGATTTGAGAGGGTCATCCCAAGTCTCTTAAAGGCTTTCTATGTGATTTTTCACACTTTCACAAGTATCTCCTCTGAAAATAACTCTGTGAGTCATGACTGTCTACAATGGGTGTAACACCCGAGTCCCACTGTTTGTGATGTTTTCACAGTTTTCAGAGTCCTATCTTCACTTTGTTTACATCGCCCCGGACGGCCGGCTGACTCCTCCCCTCGAGTTTAATTGAGGGACTAGAGAAAAGAAGAATAACATACTGTACTCACTGCTTAACTGTGTTTCTAGATCACGCTCATTTCAGGTAAATTTACATGCAGTGTGAAGATACCAGCATCTGTACCGAGCCTTAGCACGCTGCTCCTCTAAATTCCAGTTTGTTTGACCAGTGTTAGCGCTCCATATGGTACACATCCTGGCATGCTTGGAAGAGGTGTGCTTCGGCATGCTACAGGTCATGCACGATCACAAGCACGGGTACACAACATGGACAGCCTTCATTATGGAGACATCCCGGAGTGTTCTGTCTGTATCTGATTAAAATGACTCAAAATAAGCCACAGAGTCAGTAAAGTAGAGGCCATGTTCTCTGTGTTGTTCTCTGAAGTGGGAGCAGACTCGACCATGTATCCCTTTTTTATTTATTTTTGAGTCTGTCTGTCTTGTAAACTAAGCACGCTTCATAATCACGTAAAGCCATGCATGTTTTGCAAACAACGTTATGCAAAAGAGGTAACCGTGCTCAGGCCCGGTTAGTCCTGGAGCAGTGTGAGAGCAGGCCGGAAGGGGAATGGGGAGGGGGGGGACAATCGAGCTTAAGCACGGTGCGGGACAAAGGTGCCTAATGTGAGTACGCCTTTAGTCGCTCCCACCTTGATTGCATATAGAGATGCAAGGATAGGAAACAAGGTGAAGGAGAGAGGGAACGAGGACACGTTTTAAGTGACATGAAGAGACATCTGTTTGTGATGACCGTGTCAGCTGATCATCGCTCAGTCGGCTTTGAAAGAAGTTTGTGTTTCTGACTCTCTTCAATTCTCTTGTTCATAAATTAACAGGGATATCAAGACAGTTTCAGGAGGACTGCCACTGACAAGTCAAGCTGCACTGAAGTCTGATCTTCTGAAGCGTCCAATCAATGAGTGATATCCAATAAGGGGGCGTGTCTTATCAGTGAAAAAGAGTTTTCTGTGAAGTCTGCTCTCGTGTTTTTCTGGCTCACTGCTCCTCAGATCTCCCTCCTCTCTCCTTGATCCTGTCTCCTCCAACAGCATTAAGGGCTTTGGAGCGATGCTTTGCAAGTATGGAGCTACTTCAGGTTCGGCCGAGGAGCGAGGAGCGAGGAGAGAGGAGTGAGGAGTGAGGAGTGAGGAGCGAGGAGCGAGGAGCCAGGAGCGAGGAGCGAGGAGCCAGGAGAGAGGATTCATCATTTAAGAGACATGAGATGAACCTAGAGACTCCACACTCTGCTGATATTTTTATGTAGGCCGTATACAAAGATGGATGATATGAAGACTTCCCAAAAGTGAAGCCAAAACATTCGGAGCTCCCCCTACTGACTGGCTGTAGTATAGGTCATAGGCTCCGCCTCCTCCATGTTAACAGATAGGACATGAATCAAACCATAAAATCAAAATACACAAGAAATACATTTTTCTTCCTCCCTTTATAAATTACAGATTTTACAGTTTTACATCTTAAAACCACAAAACCAGAAACTGTTGATTCAGCAGGCTGTGAGGAGCGTCTCTGTGTTAGTTGTTGAGATGATGTAGTTATCACACAGGAGTAGGTGCGTTAAACTGTGTTAATTTATGAGGTGAGCTGACTGTTATTATGCACACGTCAAACACTGAATATGAAATAAGTAATCAAAATGATTCCTCTGTTCGCTGCTCTCTACACTCGGAGCTGGTGAGAGTTTCTCTAAAGCTTTCCTGTTAATATTCTGATGTTAGAGAAGAAGGAGGTTTGATTCTTTTCCAGGAGCGGTGAAGAAACGTTGAAGCTCCTTTTTTGCTTTTTAAACCACCAGACGTATCATCAGAAACATTAAGAAGACGATTAAATACAAACTTTATGTGACTGTGAGGCCCGACAGGATCACTGACTTATGCAGTGAGTGTCTAAAAAGTATCAAAACATGCACCTCTCCAGCTTGTTATTTAAAGCTAACATGTTGAGCTTCTTCCTTAAAGGCTTTATATGTGATTTTTTGATCCAGCAGATGTCGCCCTTGAGCACCAGCATGAAACCAAAACAACTCGCGCTGCATTGTTGTGTTAGCATGCTAATGCTAGCGATCTTTATTATGCTGTTATCTTCACACTGCATGTAAATTTACCTGAAATGAGCGTGATCTAGAAACACAGTTAAGCAGTGAGTACAGTATGTTATTCTTCTTTTCTCTAGTCCCTCAATTAAACAACTTTTATACACGAGGGGAGGAGTCAGCCGGCCGTCCCGGCGATGTAAACAAAGTGAAGATAGGACTCTGAAAACTCTGAAAACATCACAGACAGTGGGACTCGGGTGTTACACCCATTGTAGACAGTCATGACTCACAGAGTTATTTTCAGAGGATATACTTGATTTATATTATATTTAAGTGTGAAAAATCACATAGAAAGACTTTAAGGTCAAACATGTTGCATACATGTTTTTGCAAGTGAACCCCTCCCTCTCCAAACTTCAGCCCTACCGCCACAGGGGAGGAGAGAGAGAGTCTGTTTGTTGAGGCACTATGGTCGAGTGTCATCCCAAGAGTACAACTGAAGGAGAACTTTCCAGACCTAAGAAAAGATTTTCTTTGGTCTTAAATACGTGTAGCTGTAACCTGACTGGAGATCAGTCAATGTCTGCACTTGATCTGAACACTAAGGGAGAGGGGGAGGGGAGGAGGGGGGAGGCGTTGTGCTGAAGGACAGAGGAGGTCTGAGCGACCGGTGTGATCGAGTTCAAACTCTACTCTGAAAGCCGCATATCATAACCGTGCCCGCTGTCTCACCTTGACGCGACGTCTTGAAGCTGAAGGACTGGAAGCCCCCGGTGAGGGCCGACGAGTCGATGACGTCCACCCCGTACTCACTCTGGCTCCGTCGGTAGAGAGTGACGGCGACGATCAGAAGCACCACGGTCACCACGCCCGCGGCCAGGCCCGAGTACAAGGCCACGTCGCTGCTGCTCTCCACACCTGAGGAAGAAAAAAAAAGAGACGAGTGTGAGCGAGTGTGTTTTTCTTTCCAAGTCTATTCAGCGCTTAATTACATTCCCTCCCGGAATAAAACTGAGAGACTGTTTCAGAGGATCATCAGCTGTGTTCTTTTTTTATTTAGAGGAAGTCTATCTCGGTTTCAAACTGCATTAACACCTTTTTTTTGTTTTTGTTTCCTGCTCTTCCTCCTGATGCGCCGCGTCATTATTCCATCTTTGAGTGTTAAAGCGGCTAATGAGCAACCTCAGAAGGAAGGCGATTATAATCAACCGCAGCACCTGACTGTCATTTCAAACACCGCTGGGCTCTGCTGTTGGAGGCTCTCCGCGTTCCACCGGGATAATGTGACAAAACCAATTCATTAGATTAGCTCATCGACAATGATTAGGCTCTATCTGGTCCTGCCAGTTCTGCAGCTACCCCAAAAAAAAGTACAGCAGAGAAAAAGAATAAGAACGAGCAGGGAAACAAAGGGGGGGCTGCTAGCTTGTTCTTGAGAGATAATGAGATCTGGGCCGAAACAGGACATGTGGAGAAATCCTCTAAGTAGCCCGAAGCTCAAATGAGGAGCAAATTGACAAAATATGCAAAGCGGCATTAACAGCTATACTGTAGCAGGTTAATTGAGGGCTCGGGAAGTTTTTTGGCAAGCCGTGTTTGCGTTCTTTTTTTTTTTCTACGATTCTGACAAACAAAAATACATAACTGTGTTAAAGGACGGGGAAAAGGAAGAACATTTGCTTTGGGCTCAGAAGGAATCACATTTGTTTGCAAACTATATGCAGCAGTAATCAACGCACACAAATAGGCGCTATTCCCAAGGACGGCTGCGATGGATATACAGCGGTGAAACTCTCGCTGCGAGGCTCGAAATGCTACACCTGATGTTAAATTATGCTATTAAGAGGAAATACAATCGCAGAGTGCTGCGTGAGCATTTCAGCTACAGTTACAGGACGTCGACTTCATGATGAACGACCTAGAAACGCTGGCTTTTGTTTAGCTAAATTCATTATTTTCTGCCAAAACACATGCAATCAACAAGCTTATATGAAGGACTTCTTCCTTCGCTCTATTATTCATAAATATTCTATAAACCATAAGTCTATTAAAACATCTGTATCTGAAATATCCCTCGCCTCTATTCTCAGTTTGCAGTGAGTCATGCAAAGTGTGTTAGCTTTCATAACAGCACCTGTCAGACTGAGTTATCCCCTCTGGTACGACGGCTACTTTCCCCTCCATTAAAATGAAAAGCATTGTTTCCTATTTTGGGGTAAGTGACTGATTTGCTCGGCTGAATCACCCGTCAGGCGTACGGGCATTTCTCTCTCCTTCTGCTAAATTAACACTTTTCCTCTACAGCTGGTGGACCTGCAGAGTCCGGAGGTGAAGCTTTTGTCCTTTTCCACACAGGTTCTTGTTAGTTTTACTTTGTTTTCATCACTTTAAAAAATCTGTTTCGTCCAAATTAATTCATTTTTTTAAAGGGGACATATTATCCCTCTCTTCCACCTTTTCAAACAGACCCCCTGTGGTCTAAATGAAACATATGCGCTGTGCTTTGGTCAGAATATAACATGAATCAAGCACCAGAGGAGGTTTGTGACCCTGTATAAACCAGCTCTCTCAGAACGCTCCGTTTTGGGTGTCTCTTTAAATGCAATGACCCCGCCCCCTGAGTTTTCCCCGTAGACATCACTCCAATGTAGCGAGAATAAAAATGGCGGACCTGCGCAAAAGTTTTGTTCTAGGCTGGGGGTGGAGTCCATGGGTGGAGATACCAGGGGAGGGGAGGGGATTTTTATTTACCAGAATCCCACTGTGACATCACAAGGAGAGCACATTTGAAACGGAGAGATTTTCTCTGTGTTGTAAGACTTATGTTGACCACAAACAAAGGACTGGATGAGTTTATTTCACATGTTGTGGGTCAGTAGACACTCAGGTTACTCAAATATATGTTCAGAAACACTGAAGAAGTGGATTTCTCATAATATGTCCCCTTTAAAGGCTGCGTTTTAGCCCCATGTCAATAACACAGTGCACATCAGTTAATTACCCAGTACATACACATTAAGACGAGCTACGGGTTAAAGCTCGATTAGGCCATTTAATTGGTCCATTGTTTTCCTGGACCAACAAGTTAACAAGCGGCAAACTGGTTGTATGTTGAGCTGTGAAAACACAGACTGTCTCTCCTTGTCTGTCACAAAGTGGGCGGTTTTCGCTCTAGCACTCGCCATGTTGTCACCTTTGATGTGTTTTTTTTCTTCTGCGCATTCATGCTGTTCGACTCCTGGGTCAAGGAAGGAACTGTGGAGGTGGGATAGTTTGACTGTAGTTTTGACTTTATTGGATTTCAGTCGGACCAACTGGTTCACAAGTCTAGTTTTAGCCGTATTAACACAATAAATTGACTCCTTTAAAGGCTTTATATGCGATTTTGTGATCCAGCAGATGTCGCCCTTGAGCACCAGCATGAAACCAAAACAATTTGCGCTGCATTGTTGTGTTAGCATGCTAATGCTAGCGATCTTTATTCTGCTGGTATCTTCACACTGCATGTAAATTTACCTGAAATGAGCGTGATCTAGAAACACAGTTAAGCAGTGAGTACAGTATGTTATTCTTCTTTTCTCTAGTCCCTCAATTAAACAACTTTTATACACGAGGGGAGGAGTCAGCCGGCCATCTTGGCGATGTAAACAAACTGAAGATAGGACTCAGAAAACTCTGAAAACATCACAGACAGTGGGACTCGGGTGTTACACCCATTGTAGACAGTCATGACTCACAGAGTTATTTTCAGAGGAGATACTTGATTTCTACATTAAGTGTGAAAATTCACAGATAAAGCCTTTTAACATGATGTAAACAAGCGGACTGACAGGGAAACAGAGCAAAATACATTTCTTCCTTGGCTGTGTTTGTCTCTTTTCTTCTTTGCACGTTCTTTCATTTGCAGCTCAATGTTTCCCATACATTTATGAATCTCTGACTTCCCTCATTACTCACCTTGACGGCTACATATTTATTTTCTATATGTTCTATTATTTGATTTGAGTAGCTTCAGGGTTTGTAATTAACACTCGCCAGGCACCAAATGCTGGTAGATTTTCCGTTTGACGACTACATTTCTCAGGGTTACCCGCCACATGGAGGGTTAATGTTTCCACCTGACCGTCATTTATAAAAACCATGCTGAGTGTTTAGCACGTTTGAAGTAGCTGCAGCTTCTGTCTGCAGATGAAGCATTGCGGGGGGGAACGCTGAGACACGACAACATGCACTGCTGGAAGAGCAGCCACCAAGTGTGCCCAAGGCCGCCCATATGGGAGTATAAAGGGGAAAGCTTTCTGGGGCCGTTGTATCTGGACGTTGTATATTAAATATGTCGGCAGGATGAGGGTTAACTGAGAGGCTGCTGCCGCTGATCTAAAATAAACACCAACTGTTTGCACCATCCTCGCTTATCAAACAAGGACTTACTGCTTACTTTACATTCCAAACAATTAACAGAAGGCGTTGCCTAGCAACAGTGAAAACAAGCAGTAAGTGATTAACAACGCTGACAATGACAATAAAACCGGTCGCTGTGTAAAAAAGGAAAACAGATTGTTTTACAATCGGTGATATCTTTAAAACAACCACGATGGGAAGAAATGGATGGAGGCTGAGGACAAAACTCACCCTGTGGCTTCACATCGTGGAGAAGCTTTCGATCTGCAAAGACAGACACAGATCAGAAGTTGTCAGCTCTGATTCAAAGCCTCCAGAAATGTGTTTGGATGTGGTGAAAATAAAGCGACAAAATCTGAATTTAATCTCATTTAACATTAAAAAAAAAAATGGAAATGGAAATCACTGACAGCAGAACTTAAATTAAAAAAGTGAAGTCCATTTTTTAACACTGTGTGGGCGGGGCCTATCATATTTTGATTGACATCTTCTTGACTTTGGCACATGTGGTAGTCTGTGTATTGTTCAGAACCTGTTTTTCTTCTTCTGTGGTTATTTCTTAATGGCGCCATTTATTGTACACAAGTTATCATCCCCTTCTTTTTCCTTTCATTTGGTGTTTAAATATTTTATATCCAATCAGGATGTTATTTATTGATGTTTTATTTACCGCCCACTTTTTCTGTGGTTCTGGTTCCGGGTGTAAATACCAGAATACCTGTACCTGTCAGTACTTACACTGGATTTAATGTTTTAGAACAGTGATGCTTTATTTGTTGTGT